GGAGCAAGTGCAATCCTGGAAAAGTTAGAACCTCCTTGGGAGACTTAGCCTCAAACCCAGAGAAGAGGATTAATGTGCAGGGGAGATGGTAGGAGGTCGAGGGAGTTCTTTATGCCTGATAGCCTCATTGCTCTATGCCATAAAAGCCAAATTGCCATTTGCTGGATGGAGGGGCGATTTCCTGGAGTGCAGAGGGGTCTTGGAAAGAATGAAAAGATTGGAACTAGATGGGCACCTGGGTGGCTCAGTCGTTATGCGTCTGCCTTCGGCTCAGGTCATGATCCCAGGGTCCTGGGATCGAGTCCCGCATCGGGCTCCCTGCTCCACGGGAAGCCTGCTTCTCCCTCTCCTGCTCCCCCTGCTTGTGTTCCCTCTCTCGCTGTGTCTCTCTCGGTCAAAGAAATAGTGGAGTTCATTGGGGGTGAGATGATGGCAGTGGGAAGCACTGGTAACTTGGCTTTGGGGAAATTAAAGAATTAGGGGGAGAGTGGGCAGTGAATGCCAAGTGTCTGGCTGCATAAGAATCCGAAGAAATAAACAAGTCAGGCAAGAAAAAAAAAAAATTCCAATGCCCTGGGGCGCCTGCGTAGCACAATTGGTTAAGCGTTGGACTCTTGGTTTCGGCTCAGGTCATGATCTCAGGGTCATGAGATCGAGCCCCACGTGAGGCTCCATGCTCAGCACGGAATCTGCCTAAGACGGTTTCTCTCTCTCCCTCTCCCCCTCCTCACCCTCTAAAATAAATCTTAAAAAAAAAAAAAAAATTCCAGGGGCACCTGGGTGGCTCAGTTGTTAAGTGTCTGCCTTAGGCTCAGGTCATGATCCCAGGGTCCTGGGATCGAGCCCCGCATCGGGCTCCCTGCTCAGTGGGAAGCCTGCTTCTCCCTCTCCCACTCCCCCTGCTTGTGTTCTCTCTCGCGCTATGTCTCTCTGTCAAATAAATAAAAAATCTTAAAAAAAAAAAAAAGTTTGAAACTAGAAAAGGAAGCTGACTTGGATATTGACTGGGTTTATTGTGGTAATCTTTTTGCAATTTATACAGATATTGAACCATTATGTTTGTACACCAGAAACTAATATAATGTTATATGTCAATTATACCTCAATTTAAAAAAAAGAGAGCTGACTAGAAGAAACACACGGACAGATGGCCCAGGGGCACTGTTCATCATGCATTTTTAGTGGTACCAGTTCACATGGTGATGGCGCTCACCCAGAGGCAGAGCATGGAAGGCTGATGGGTTAATCTGATGGGTTTTGTCCCATGGTCAGGTGCTGGAAAGGGAACACACAAAGGCATTCCCTATGGAGATGCTTAAATGGATACATAGGATCTTGGTAGGATAGGGGAGAAAATAAAATCCAGTGATTTTAGTTTATCAGATACCTGAGAGAAAAGGGTGGGAGGGTAAGGGACCAGCAGTCATAAGGAAATAGAAAAGCAAGTAAACCAGGTTTTGGCAAAGAGATGGAAGAACAGAATCTAGTGATCAAAGATCAATGTACTGGAGTTAAAACTTGGGAGGTAGAAGAGTTCTGAGTCCCAGCAAAATTCCTCCACAGAGTATTTGCACTTTTTTTTTTTTTTTGCTCTTTTCTCTTTCTTTTTTTCCCATTTTCCCTTCACTTCACTCGGAACCAAGCTTTTTTCTTTACCCCTTTCTGAAACAAGGATACTCGTCAAGAGCTTTAAATGCAGGAGTGACGTGACTCGATATGTTCAGAGCAGCAAGAGATATTAAAATAAGGCTCATAGCAGCATTGATTGTCATACTACAACACTAGGAAATAAATATTCGTCAATAGTGGCATGGATAATACTGCATTTATTTAAAGTCTAAAAACATGGGCACCTGGGTGGCTCAGTCGGTTAAGTGTCTGCCTTCGGCTCAGGTCATGATCTCAGGGTCCTGGGATTGAGTCCCACATCGGGCTCCCTGCTCAGCGGGGAGTCTGCCTCTCCCTCTACCCTTCCCCTCTGCTTGTGATCTCTCTCTCTCTCTCTCCCCCTCAGATAGATAAATAAAATCTTAAAAAAAAAAAAAAGTATAAAAATAGGGGCGCCTGGGTGGTTCGGTTGGTTAAGTGTCCACCTCTTGATTTCCACTCAGGTCATGATCTCAGCATTGTGGGATGGAGCCCCCTGTCAGGCTCCCTGCTCAGCAGGGAGCCTGCTTGAGATGCTCTCTCTCCTCCCTCTGCCCCTCCCCCTGCTCGCTTTCTCTCTCCTCTAAAATAAATAGATAAATCTTTAAAAAATAAAGTCTAAAAACAGCTAAAATTAAACTGCATTGCTTAGAGATGTAGATGAGAGTGGTTAAGCTTGGAAACAAGGAAATGATTGTCAGAAAAGTGAAGATGCTGGCGACCTCTGGCAGAATGGAGGTTGTCTTCATCAGGGAGGACACTTGGAGAATGTGGGGGGTGGCAATGTGGTTTTATGGGTATCTCCTTTATAATTATTCTTCAAACTGTGCATATATGGTTTTGCACTTTTCTGTATCATATATCCCAACTAAAGAGAAAATATGCATGGAAAAATACATACCATATTTAGGAGAGGGGGGAATGAGATTAGGGAGGTGTGTGCAGATACAGTTGTGTTTGTAATTTTGTGTTTCATGAGCTGGGAGCTAAGTATATGGGTTTTCAGTTATTGTCCATAATTGTTTATATGTCTAAAATATTTAAATCGAAATTAAAACTAGACGGCAATATGGAAAAGAAGATGGATGCTTTTGTTTCTGTTTTCATTTCCTTTATGGTTGTTAAATTATTTATTCAATAAATTAGAATCAGGAGAGAAAACACAATAGCTAAGTCAGTACTTTAGAGATTTGCTGGCATTCAGAAGTTCTTTAGGGAGACATGGAGAATAGAATCCAGTTACTAATCTCAGGGCTTGATCTCAGGCCTGTTTGTTTGGTTTACTCTTGCAGAAGTGATCCTAGGGTATACAACTGCCTGCGTCCTGCGAGCAGCTCCCACCTCTGCTTGAGTATCTGCTACTCACCCCATCCCTCTCTCAAAGTCTCACTGACCTTTCCCTGCAGCCCTCATGTGAACTGGCCTGGAAGTCATTCCACTGTTGGGTGGAGATGGCTGCTGCTTTCCCAGAAAGCCTGCTCCAACCCCTTCCTACTCATTCAGCAAGTCCTCATTCCAGGCTGCTGATCTTGGATCCCGCCGCCCCTCCTCCCCCAACTGTGTAAACAGAAATAACTGGGAAACTATACTCCTGAAGGAAATCCTCAGCAGGACTGGAAAATGAAAACTCCAACACATTCAGAATGCAATGTAAGACTGGTTGGACATGGATTTCCCTACCTCCTGAGCCTCTGGGGCTCCCTTCTCATTTTGTTTATACAGCCTTTCTTTTTTTTAAGATTTTATTTATTTATTTGAGAGAGAGAGAATGAGAGACAGAGAGCACGAGAGGGAGGAGGGTCAGAGGGAGAAGCAGACTCCCTGCCGAGCAGGAAGCCCGATGTGGGACTCGATCCTGGGACTCCAGGATCATGACCTGAGCCGAAGGCAGTCGCTTAACCAACTGAGCCACCCAGGCGCCCTATACAGCCTTTCTTTAAGGAGTTGGAATAACTGTCTCCCTGAGAGCCCTTAGTCCCGTGTTTTCTCCTGTGGATTCCTAGGGGAGGAGAGGCCATCTGGCCGAGTGGATAAATGGAAGGAAGCTGGTCCAGGTAACTCCTTGTTCAGTTGAGTTACTTAGTGAACCAACCCAGGATCTGCTCAGACTCCTTGCCATGTACAATCATAAAGTTCTCTTTTATTATTTAAGCTAATTTTGGTTGCAGTTTTTGATACAGCTGAAACATCCTACTTACCATAGGATAGAAAGAGGAAATTTTGTTATATATACTGTTGAGAAAGGCGGGAGCAGTTAGTGACAAATAAGAGGAAGCCTCCAGGGGGCCCGTTTGGGGCAGTGCTACTCAAAAGTGTGGTTCATGGACCTGCAGCATCAGAATTACCTAGCAGCTTGTTAGGAATGCCAGGGTAAGGGCTTCACTCCAGACAGACCAAATCATATTCCCTGGAGGTAGGGCTGGGAATCAGTATTTTAACAAGGTCCCCCTCAGTGATTTGGATGCAACTGAAGTGGGAGAAAACACTGACCTAGAAGCCTTCTGCAGCTGGGAGTGTGATTGGTCCAACAGAGGAAGTGCTCTGTCTCTAGCTCACGGCCCACCTCTCTGAAGCTGTCCCGATCTTCTAGATCTCAATTTCCCTTTTCCGTCACAAGAGTATGGGGATCAGATGAGGAACTGGGTGTAAAAATGGTTTGAAAGAGCTCAAGCCTTGATCCCTAGCAGAGTCCTTGAGCTGGCCCAGCCCCTACGAGGGGCCACAGCGGCTGAGGCTGCAGACAGGATGTCAGCTGCTTTGGGGAGGGCCTGTCTCCGTCTGCGGAGGAACTGGCAGGTAGGGGATGGAGAGTCACTGCCATTCCTAATTGAACTCGGTTACTCCAATTCTGCGTTTTCTTTTTTCAGATTCCTGCTTGCCCTTGTGGCTTGAGGAGGGTTGGCCCCTGCCGCAGTGCTGCCCCTCCTCTCTTACAACCTCAGAGACCTCAGCCGTCCTCCCGCCACATCCTCCACATCCTCAGCCCTCCTCCCGCACCTCTACTGAGGTGACCTGGTTCCCCGCCCCCCCGGCTTTCCCTGGCCTTCGACGCCCGAGGAGGCACGGGACCCACTGCCCTGCAGACAGACAAACGGCTAGGTCGTGAGCCCTGCCTCCTCTCGAGTTCGGAGGCGTCGACCCCGATGCGGGAACCACCCTCCGAGCCAACGACGAGCGCCCGCGTAGAGGCGGCGGCCTCGCGAGCCAGCCCCGCGCGCCGAGCGAGACAGAGCGGGTGGAGAGGGCGCGACCGCCTGCCTGACGGCCAATCAGAGCAGGGCAGGCAAGCAGGCCCGGCTCCCAGTGGCCACTCAGGCGCAGGCCGAACGCGCTGCCTGCTCTTGGACTGGACGAGCTTCCTGCCAATCAGAGGCGGAACAAGAGGAGCCTCGGCCAATAGCGGGAGGCGGCCGGGTCAGGCGGGTGGCCCTGCGGTCCGCGCGGGGGTCCGCGAGCCAGTTGGCGCTGAGGGAGTGGCCGCCCCCCCGCCCTCGCGCGCTGCGCTCTCGGCCCCCCGGGCCCGCCCGCCGGCCGCGCCGCGTCATGTCAGGCGCTGCTCGGCGCTAGTGCCCGGGCCGCCGCCGCCCGCCGAAGCCGCGCCCACTGTCCAGAGCCAGAGGGATGGTGGTAGTCACGGGGCGGGAGCCAGACAGCCGTCGTCCAGACGGTGCCATGTCCAGCTCCGACGCTGAAGACGACTTTCTGGAGCCGGCCACCCCGACGGCCACGCAGGCGGGGCACGCGCTGCCCCTGCTGCCCCAGGAGGTACCCGGGGGGTGGGGCGTGGGAAGGGGCGCAGAGGGAGAAGCAGGTGCCCCGCAGAGCTGACCTTGGGGTGCGAGCCGCGCTGAGGCTGGGGTCAGAGGTGGGGCCGAGGGCGGCGCCAGAGGAGCTGTGCTCCCGGGCCCACCCCCACCCCCCCAGTAAAACGCACCAGGTGTGTCTTCCCTGCCCCGGGGCACACCTGCCCACCCCCCCCAGCACCCCCCCCCCCGCCTTCCCCCAACCCCCGCTTCCAGTATTCACTGACTGCAAGGCTGGTTTAGGCCCACCCCTCTGTCCCATCCTTACCGACTAGAGGAGGGAGGGTAGGCTGTGGGAAGGGGACCTCGGAGTCCCGAGAGGAGAGTGTCTTCTAGGAAACTGAAGAGGAGGCCTTCGTGGTGGCCCAGACCTAATCTCCAGCTGCCCAGAAGGTGGGGTAAGGGACTGTGTGCAGATAAGAAGCAGGCCAATGAATGGATGTGTCCACAGTCACCCGACAGCTCCATGGCTTTCCTCTGCTAGCTACTGTGCTGGGGTGCGCCTCCTGGCCTTACTGTGTATGACAGGATCGTTTTTAGAGCCGAAATGACCCTCAAGAGAAAGGGAAAAGAGGAGGAAGGTGGGGCACTGCTGGGCACTGAAGAAGGAGACTAGGAGGTAGGAGCTAAGGTAGTGCTGGATCAGGGAGCCTGTTGTGATGTGTGGAGTGCTAGGAAAATGGACAGCTCCGGAGGGGCCGGGCTGGACTGGGGGTGGCTGGTCCTCTTGGCATTAGAAGCCTGAACTCTCAACGTCATGAAACACTTGTGATAATGAGCAAAACCCTGGAAGTACTCTTTGCAGTTGGGGGGGGGGGGGGAGCCATCAGGAACACTGGTGTTTATCTTTTGTGCACTGTCCTTGGGAAGACAATGTGGTTTGAGAGAAAGAGCGCAGGACTGTAGGCCAGTTCCCCCACAGGTACATTGTTCCATGTGAGATCTAAAACTGTTTTTTTTTTTTTAAAGATTTTATTTATTTATTTGAGAGAGAGAGAAGGGGAGAGAGCACATGAGAGGGTGGAGGGTCAGAGGGAAAAACAGACTCCCCGCCGAGCAGGGAGCCCGATGCGGGACTCGATCCTGGGACTCCAGGATCATGACCTGAGCCGAAGGCAGTCGCTTAACCAACTGAGCCACCCAGGCGCCCCTGAAACTGTTTTTGATTGCTTTTTCCTCTGTGCCTCAGTCTTTTCAGCTCTACTATGGAGCAGACACTGGGACTGGTATGAGATGTCCTTGGAAAAGGTGTAAAGAGCTCCAGAAATGTAAAGTATTATTATCCCAAAATGATATTTGAGTCCTTGGTATGCACATACAATAGTTTTAGAGGAGCTGTAGAGTAAGTAGAAGGCATTTGCTGTCCTTTGGTTGCAGAAGAGTAACAGTGCATACATACACAAGAACTGTGTATTTTTTTCATTCACTCATTCATTCATTCATTCACTCATTCATTCAGTGCATATTTGGGTCTTTACGGCAAGCCAGGCACTGCATTAGGCTCTGGGTCACTTTGATTTAATGTATTTGTATCCTACTTTATTGCACAAAGAATTTGAAAACACATTATTTTACTTATATGTGGAATCTGGAATCTAAAAAACAAACAAAAAACAAAGCATAAATAGACTCATAAATACAGAGAACGAACCAGTGGTTACCAGAGGGGAGGGAGTGTGGAGGGATGGGCAAAAGGGGCGAAGGGGAGTGGGAGGTAGTGGCTCCTAGTTAGGGAATGAATAAGTCCCTGGGACAAAAGGTACAGCGTAAGGAATATAGTCAATGATATCGTAATAGCGATATATGGTGGCAGGTGGTAGCTACACTTGCGGTGAGCAGACAATAAGGTATAGACCTGTCAAATCACTGTGTTGTACACCCAGAACTAATATAACATTATGTGTCAACTATACCTCCAAAAAAAAGTGGAAAAAAAAATAGAACTGGAAAGCTGGGGGAAAGGACTATCTAGATAATTATACACTGGAGCCTGAGAGATGTCATATTAAAAAGTGTGCACTGGTATAAAATTTTAGTTAGTCTGGAGGTTCATGGGAAAATTAGAGAGAACTGGCTTCATTTCTTTTAAAACCACAAGCAGTGAAGGCTATTCCGCCCCCCCCCCAAAAAAGTTCCTGAGCATTTTAGGGAGAACCTAGAGCTTCTCTGAGCCAATCTATACTGTCATTCCCTATTCCTCCCCCTGCCCTTGCCTCCAGAACCTGAGATGGACTAGGGACTGATCTTACCCTACAGATTAAGTAGGAGAGAAGCGGTGAGGTAGTGAGGAGTGGATGCCTGGAATAATTCCACAAACATCTCCGAGCCCCGCTGTGGGTGGCCTCGTGATTAGTGAATAAGATGCTGTCCCTGCCCTCAGGAAGCTTGGGGTCTAGAAGGGTAGGCTCACAGGAGTAATTAAGTGCCAGTGTATCATGCTAGGCAGTATAAAGAGGAGAGCATGGCACATGGTGAAGGCACGATGGAGGGAATACTTAGTTAAGTCTGTCTTGGGGCAGGCGAGGGACAAAAGTGCAGAAATGCTCACAAAATCAGGACACTTGAAGAGAAGCTTTTCGAATGAGTAGATGCTGCCAACTTCCATGGTGCCTCGGTGTGCACTAGAGAAAGGTACACAGCTGGGCTAGCAGACCTCTCGCAGATGGGTGCCCTTGAGCACACCGCATGTAGGGCAATTGCATTTGCTAGATGGACAGAGGGAGAGTGGAAAGAACATTCTGGACAGAGAAGACAGCATAAGCAAGGGCATAAAAGTGGTAATAGAGCAGAGATAGTAGAGCTGGGGTGGGGAGGCCTGATTTAATGGCTATTAGGGGGACAGTGGGGTGGACTTGGCAACTGAGGAGTGTGGGCAGAGGGAGGAGAGAGAGAAGAGCATCAGAAGGAGCATTCCCAGATTTTAGCCTTGGGTGCGTGAGTGGTGTAGCACTGATGAGACCCAAGGAGACTGCAGGCAGAGCAGCCCCTGCTCTCATTCCCCAATGCCTGGCTGAAAGTGCCGGTGGTTCCTTTCCAGTTTCCTGAGGTTGTCCCCCTCAACATTGGAGGGGCTCACTTCACCACACGCCTGTCTACCCTGCGGCGCTATGAAGACACCATGCTGGCGGCCATGTTCAGCGGGCGGCATTACATCCCCACAGACGCCGAGGGCCGGTACTTCATTGACCGGGATGGCACCCACTTTGGGTATGTTTCTCCCTCTTTGGTCAACTTTGTAGTCCTAGTGAGTGTCCTGGGTTTCGGTATGGGGCTTTGGTGTCTTCTATAATACCTAGAAGAGGAGATAACAAATGTACTGATGGAATTCAATCAATGTGTTTATTGAATGAGATCAAAAGTCATAGTTTTTTTCCCAGAGGAGACGAGGACAGCCAGAGAAATCCCAGGTGACACACACTGGCTGGATGTGGTGAAACTGCTTCTGTCCTGTGAAATTTAAGACCAGGAAGTTGTGGGCGCCTGGGTGGCTCAGTTGGTTAAGCAACTGCCTTCAGCTCAGGTCATGATCCTGGAGTCCTGGGACCGAGTCCCACATCGGGCTCCCTGCTCAGCGGGGAGTCTGCTTCTCCCTCTCACCCTCCTCCCTCTCATGCTCTCTGTCTCTCATTCTCTCAAATAAATAAATAAAATCTTAAAAAAAAAAAAAAAAAGACCAGGAAGTTGTCATCTGTGTGGAGCAGGTGTGATCCCTCCTGGAGGTGGGAGATTCTAAAGCAACTTCTTGGGGAAAATCCTCAGATTCAGATTCTGGGGCTCCACATTGCCCTTAGGGAGGGACACAGTGTGGGACTGTGGTTCTCAGACTTCCTTCAAGAGTTTAAAACAAACGAACAAAAAAGGTGAGGGAATGGCCAATATGTGATTGCCATCCTTTAATTTTGCCAAGAAAAGTCTTTAAAAAAAAAAAAAGCTTCAATTGTGACTGTCATTTTAATACTAAAACATGGAAAGACACAATCTCAAAAAAGAAAATGGCCCTTCCCAAGAAAGGACTTCTGACACCTTACACATGAACAGCTTAAAGACTTTATGTTTTAGTTTCCTTATTTGTGAAATGAGAAATAATGATAGCTGCCTCACAGGCCTGCCATGCCAATTACATGAGGAGCCTTGGTGTGACCCCTGGCCAGGTCCTTCCAGAGCATGTGGCTAAAGCTCTTTGCCCCTTCAGTCTAACTTTGGAGATGACTAGAGAACTAACATGGTTCTCCACCTTCAACAGATTGACTAGGGAGGCAAAAACTCTCCAACCACCACGTCTCTGTGCTGGCCTCCAAGTAGGATTGCCTGCACTGGGAGAAAGGACATTTTTATGTTCAGAAAGGAGCCTCTGGTCAAACAATTTACTGTGAACCATCTGGGTGTCCCCATTGGGCTGTCAGCTGCCTCCAATGCTGAGAAAACAAAGTGTCACATCACTCTGCAGAGCTATAAAAAGATTTTTGTTTGCAGGCTGTTTGGGGGAGGAAAGTGCTGGCCCCGGCTGGCAGCTCCCACAACACTCTTAGCTGGGCCTTGCCCCAGGGTTATGTTTTTCAGAGCGGACCAAGGTTTGCGTAAGATCCTGGAGGGCTAATTTGGAAAGGGGTTGTGGTGAGGGGAAACAGGGTTTGGCTGTAGGCTGATGTGCCCATGCCCAGGTGGCCACAGCTGGAGAGGGTCAGAGCCAGGCAAGGGTGTGGTAGAAAGCAGGTTGTTGTAGCCTTTATCCTCGGGCTGCTGGACTACAGTGGCCTATGATTCATGAGCAGCAGATGAAGTTGCCTAAAGACTCAGATAAAATAAAATAGGGGTATAAGGCATTTGGTCAGGTACATTTCTCTGCTGGTGCAGTTCATGTGCTCCCAGCACCCCCGCATGAAGGCTGCTTGGGCCGCCGCCTGGGGCCGTTTCCCATTGTGATCAGTGAGTAGCACTTTGGATTAGGGTCTGGACCACTGTGGGTATGGCCTTGGAGTCAACTGTGTCTGCATCTGGGCTCCTGCTAGCTGTGACTCCTTGAGTAAGGGTATTCCTTGACCTCTCTGAGCCCCTCTTTTTCCTCATTTATAAAATGGACCTAAAATGGCACTTACCCACAATGTCATTGAAGTGACTAAATGGGATAACACATGAATAGTGACTGACACAGGTTAGTACTTCTTAGTGAGTGTTAGCTGGTATTACATCATGGTCAGAGACTACTGTTGAGGCAACATCTTGATCTTGGGGTTTACTCACATATCTTTACAGAAAAGACCTTCCCACACCTACCAGTAAAGGATCTGATTATTCTTAGCACTAAAGAATTTGAAGATAGAACTAAAAGAACTGAATATTTATCTTAAGAAAATGCAGTATATGATTTTATTCACTCCAGGAACCAGTTTGTTCAAGTGTTAGGGGTAAGCATTTGATGTCTTTATAGCTACCGAATAAGACTAATGGCAAGGTTATATAGAAGATGGGGAACCATTCTACATTGCTGGTGGAAATGTAAAATGCTACAACCATTTTGTTAAGCATGCACTTCACCTTATGAGCGAACAATTCTACTCCTAATATATACCCAAGAGAAGTTGGTACATGTGTCCCCAGAAAGTCTTTACAGGAATGTTCATCACAGCTTTCCTCGTAAGAGCCCCAAACTGGAAACAACGCAACTGTCCATCAACAAGAGAATGGGTAAATAAATTACAGCATATCCATTCAATGCGGGGCCACTTAGTTTGTTACAACATAGGGGATGAATCTCAGAAACATTCTGTTGAAGGAGAGAAGCCATGGAAGAGAACGTACTGTGTGCTTCCACTTACATGAATTTCAAGATGAGGCAAAACTAATCTTCACTGATAGAAGAATTCTGGGGTTGAATTGGAAGAGGCAGAGGGAAACTTTGAGATGGAAACGTTCTGTATCTTGGTGTAGGTGGTGGTTGTAACCAAACTATACGATTTGTACCTTGATTGCACATTAATTGTATCTCAATTTAAATATATAGATTAAGGAGTCTAGAAATCACATCTTTCCATTATTCCTATGTATACCCAATAATAACAACACCTAGTAAAAATAAAAAATATGACGCCTAATAATAGTTATAATAGTAATGATACTGATAATAACAGCTCCTAATGCGTATTGAGGACTTACCCAGTGCCAGGTATTTTCCAAGCACTTTTTATCTATTAACTCACTTAGTCCCTTCATTCCATTATGGGGTAGTTTTGTTTTTTTTTAATTTCCCCCCTTTTACAGATGAGAAAATCAGGGCACAGAGAGGTTAGGTTCACTTACCCAAGGTTACACAGCTGGTAGTCTGGTCCCAGATTCTGTGCTCTAACTACTATGTGTCACCGCCCAGGTCCATTAGCTCCTTCTCACCAACTCTCTTTCCTTCCTGCTCAGAGATGTGCTGAATTTCCTGCGCTCAGGGGACCTGCCGCCCCGGGAGCGTGTACGGGCTGTGTATAAAGAGGCCCAGTACTATGCTATCGGGCCCCTCCTGGAGCAGCTAGAGAACATGCAGCCTCTGAAGGGGGAGAAAGTGCGCCAGGCATTTCTGGGACTCATGCCCTATTACAAAGGTGAGGGGTCAACTGCCCAGTGTGGTCGAGGTGTGGGAAAGGAGGGTTACAAGGCATCTATCTGGGCCTAGGTCTTCACCAGAAGAAGTGGGTCCGAGATTCATCTACGTTACTCAAGATTGGAGAGATTCCTGCTTCCCTTTCTGTCCTCCCCTCCCAGTCACACTGGGAAGATTCAGGTTAAATAAGACCCACCTTGCCTGTGACATCATCAAATCACCTTTCAAAAGGATTGTCCTCATTCCTTCTTTTTGGTTTCCTTTTGCCATGGCGATCCATGATCCTGTTTAAGTTTGTGCCCTTCATAAGCCCACAGATTCCCTTCTGCAGGATCTCTCTCCTCTGTTGGATCCTGCCTTCATTGGGGCTCTCTCTTTGTGCCCTGACACTGCCTTGCCCACCCCCCACCCCAACCTCCTGACCCCTGTCCCAGTGATGGGTGCTGTGTTCACCCCACAGACCATTTGGAGCGGATTGTGGAGATTGCCAGGCTGCGTGCGGTACAGCGGAAGGCCCGCTTTGCCAAGCTCAAGGTGTGTGTCTTCAAGGAGGAGATGCCCATCACCCCCTACGAGTGTCCTCTTCTCAACTCCCTGCGCTTCGAGCGGAGCGAGAGCGATGGGCAGCTCTTTGAGCACCACTGCGAAGTGGATGTGTCTTTTGGGCCCTGGGAGGCTGTGGCTGACGTTTATGACCTACTGCACTGCCTGGTCACGGACCTCTCAGCCCAGGGCCTCGTCGTGGACCACCAGTGCATTGGGGTGTGTGACAAGCACCTCATCAACCACTACTACTGCAAGCGCCCCATCTATGAGTTCAAGATCACATGGTGGTGAGTAGCCCTGGTAGGGAACAGTCCCGTCAGGGAGGGCGTCCATCCTCTTTAGTGGCTCTGGGGTAAGATCCCTGGAAGGGATACTAACTGCCCCAGACCTGCTGGGGTGAGGACCAAGTCCTGAGGCACAGCGCCAAGGGGATGGAGGTCTCCTGGCAGCTCCAGGCTCCCGGCTGTACCTCGGGATCAGGCTCAGGCTCAGGGCTTGTGGCCAACGGGCACTTGGTACCTGCACTCACCTGACCTTTCCTCAAGGCACAGCAGTCTTTGCCTGAGGCTGATGGGGTCTGGCTAGCTAGGGCTTGACCAGGAAGTCCAGAGAGGTTTTGTCACTCTCTTGATCTTGCAAGAGAGTTTCTGCCCTTTTTAGTGCCATGTTACCAAACTAATAGAGGCGTAATCACTTCCTCAGCCCTGTTCGAGTGTCCCTTTCTTGTGCCTAGCATATAGGTATGAACACAGAATATGATGGGGGATTTACCCAAGGACCTACCCCACAGCCCCTGCCTGAAGAAGCAGCATCTTCTCTCCCTCTTCCCCCAGGGATAGTTCCACGCTTTGTTTTAGGATGTGGAAAGACTCTTCCTCCTGAAACATATTCTTCACCACCTTTTGGAGATGCAACCATAGTTGCCAAAGCCAAGCACCAGGTTGGCCTTAGAAAAGCACAATGTTTACAGCCCTGCCTTAGGGCCTTGGCTTCTCCTACCTTCCACCAACCTTCCTTGCTTGAAGGGTTATCTTCTCAGGGCTGTAATGCAGATTTCAGAGGTTCCTTTTGCAGATTCCCTGAGTCAAGCAGGCAAGTTGCATAGATCTTCTGTTATCTATGGGAGGTAACATCCTTTCTGGAGGCTCAGGATCTCTTTGGCTGCCATTTCATGGTTAGCATCCAATTTGTGGTGAACCTCTGTAGATAGGAACCCCCCTCTTTTTTAAACCCTGCTGCTTTATCCTGCTCATGTTCTCCTAGGAGAGTGTCTGTTCTGAGGAAGCAGAGAAAGGGTTGGGTGGGAGGCGCAGCTATACCAGGAGCTGTAGGACGATAGCAGCAAACCTCCATCACGTTCTGCTCCCCGCATCTCAGAGAGAGAAAAGGATCCACAAGGTTCTGCTCCCACTGCATTTTCTTCTTGCCCCATCTGCAGACTAGGGCAGTTAAGCAGGCTATGGACATGCATCTCCTAAAGGAAGAGCTATGCAGCACCAGCAATTGGAACATAACATTTCTGTGCTGCATTAAGGGCTTCTCCCTGTAATCACGACTCTGCTTGACTGTCCTTTGTGTTTGGTAGGGAGATTTTTTTTCATATGTAAAACACTGGTGAGGACAGCCTCACTGGTCTCAGTCCTACAAGACCAGATTGGCGAGGTAGGGCAAGGGGGAACGGAAGATGTCTGCATCCTTCTGAGGAAGAGAAGGCCAAGTCCTGGGACCTTGCCAAACTCCTTCATGGGGCAGTGACCTCCTGACCCTCTGTGGAACAGGGATTCCGGGGCGTGGCTTTGCACTCACGTTGTATGGTGGAACAGAGGTGCAGACTGAGATCTAAGAGGAAGGTACAGTCAGTTGTTCAGGTTCAGAGATACGTGTTCTCTCTATTGTCTTCATCCACAAATGAATCATCACTATTCTGGAGGTGATGTCCCCGCTTGAAGCTTACTCCAACAACATGGCTCTTGTCTTGTTCTAACAGAAGTCTTTCGTTTAAGTTGCTCCAATAGGTGTTACTGCCTAATACAAATTCATTTTTGGACAGACACTGAGGCAAGCTGTTCAGGAGAAAGGCAGTGTGAGTAGAAAGGAGACAGTTAATCCCAGTGCTTTCAGTTATCTGGCCTAGGCTCCTTCTCATTCCCACCCCCGGCACAGAGCATCACAGTACCTTGGTTATTTAGAGTCCATACATGTAAGATAGAGTGATTGGTAGGCTCAAATGCAAGTTTGCTCAAAAATAGGCCCTGAAGACTAGCTTAGGGCTCCAGGGATGCTGGATAAGGACACTGTCCCCAGGCCCCTTGCTAGAGACACTCCTTTGGATCCCTCTGGCCCTGTGTTGTCCTCACAGTGGTGTACTTCATGCCATTGTGGGAGAGACAAGGCTCTGGGCCAGTAGACCAGGCAGAGCAGAGATACTGGCAGCCAGCTTAGAGCTCTTTCCAAATGAAGTAAAAGAATTCAGTGGCCCAATCTGGCCATTCTCTGATGAGAAGCCAAGGCCAAGATGAAGAGTGCTTTTGGATGTGGTGGTTTGAGGTGATGGCCTCCACATAAAGGTCATATCTGAGGAAGTGACTTCTCCCAGTTGGATCCCTTCTCCACTCTAAATGGTCAGGCCTAGAGCATAAGAAGGGCTGGGTTAGGAAGGAGGGTTCCAAAGGATGAATGCTTCGACCCAGTCGAAAGAGAGTGTATTTTCATAGAATTCTTGTGCATAACATTGATGGGTCAAACCAAGTGCCTGCCTTCGGAGCTTCCATTATGTTTGACTTTGGGCGCCTTTTCTCCCAGGTGTCATGCTCACTGGTTGGGAAGGGGAAAAGTTTAGGAGATGGGATTATATGGTGCAATAGCAGCCATAACAAAATTCAACAAAAATGAAAAACTCAATGGCAACAAAAAAGATTGAAACAAAACCACAGTGAAACACATCACCGCATCCCAGATGGAGGAGTTCTTTGGGTAACGCTCTAAATAGAAGAAAGAGAGGAACCGTCACCATCCTTATCTACCTTTGGTTAACTCACGGGGCTGTCCAGTGCTTATCATGTGGAAAGCAGTCGACTGTGCTCTGAAAGCTTCTATTCTTTCTTCCTGGGGCTTAGGATATTCTGGTTGCTGTCTGAGCCTTGTGCCTCAGGCTGTTCAGGTGACATAATCTTCCTGTTCTGTGTTGCTTGTTGGAGGACTGGAAGAATGACATTTGCAAGCCACAAGGTGGGGTGAGCCTCAGTGTGCAATCTTGGTCTAAGCTGGATCCTGAAGAGGTTCAGACAAATGACAACAACAACAAAACAAAAACTACTTACACTGAGCAGTTTGATCCCAGTTAGAATTTTAAATATCCTTCTGCATACCTTCTGTCCATATTTGGTTCTAAGTGATTAAGCTTTCTTAGGTACCTTTTTGCTGGGGCTCTTTCATGAAGGTAGTACCTGCCTTGTGATCCTTAAAAGAGGGAGGCTTTATTCATCAGAAGCCGGAGTGTGGGGAACTGGAATGGGAGAGGCACTTTTTGGAATTCTGGAAGAAACATATATGTATACATATGTTAATTGGGAGAAGGGTGGGTTGGCAGGGGTTGACGAGGCGGGAACAAAGACTGGGTATAGGAACAGGTTGCCTCTGGAGTATGGGAGGTCACCTGGGCCCACTGTCTTCCTTCTGTATGGTGTTGGGTCTGTGTACATGGCATAACACTTCCTATGTTCGTTCACTACCTGTCTGTAAGCACTTCGGTGCATGGAGCCCCAGTACCCTCACATGGCATTAAAGTAAAGAATTAGAATCTGGGTGCTGTGCCTTTCTTTTTTAGAGACTTACTCTCATCCCTCCTCTGCCCCTCACTGTGCCAGCAAACAATGTCTTGATTTCTCCTTAAAATGTGATGTGTTTTGGGATGCTCAGCTAAATAAAATAGGCTCTTTCCTGAGACCAGCAGCTGAACTTCTGCCCTGGCTTGAAGTAAAAGGGAGATGGGCCCCATGAAGGCCCTTCTGCAGTTACTCTAGCCTTGTCTCTGTTCCAGGTAGGAGTGTGCCCACCCAGTCTAGGCACACAGCTCTGCCTTCTTGTGTTGAGAGGTCTCCAGGGGAAGAAGATAGCACAACTGCCCAGTCACTGTGTGGTTCACGACCGTGTCAGGTGGTTCTGAAAGAATCCCTCCTGTCATTCACCACTTCTTTCAAGGGTGAGATAAATGGCTCTAAGCTTACATGAGCCTCTGTGGCTAAGACCCTTCCTTGAGGAAAATAGACTTGAGTTGCCCTTCCTCTGGAAGTAGAGTTTGACACCTTCTTGGCTAATGAGGGTCCTCATCAAGATGTCCCTTGGAGTCACTTCATGGATTAACCCAGAAAGGTGAGTCCTGACATGCTGGGTAGCTATGCCACCCTCCAACTGCTTCCTTAAATCTCTCATGATTCTGACTTAAACAAAAGCACTGCGTCACTTGTGCCAAGTGTATTCCCTGACCTGCTTACTGTGTGCACAATCACGTAGTCATGATGCGCTAATAATACTTCACAAATTGGAAACTGAAGCTCATGGAGGTGTAATTTCCTCAAGGGCACATAGCTAATAGGTAGCAAAGTCAGCATGCAAACCCAGGGCCCTTTTCTGAAGTCCCCACAGATGTTCAGTAGAGCCCTCCCTTCTGCTTGGCAGACACAGTGTCCCACCTCTCAGGCTTAGGGCTTCAGCCTGTGAAAATTTGAAAGGCAAATGCTCTAGAAGGAATATGAGACTTTCTTTTATGTCCCTGAGCATTAAGGAGCTAGCTGGGGTCCCCAGTGTACTGCCCTTCTTAGTGAGGGACACATGTTCGCTAGGTGAAGGGTCCCACTCATGGGCAGTGATGGAGGTGAGCAGTGGCTCCCTGGCTGGACCCTAGGTGTGGCGAGATGACCTGGGACGGCCTGAGTTCATCAGACTCTTGCAGCCTACAGGCCTAACCACACAGATGTGCTGTGCGGCCTGACCGTGTGGGGAAGGATGCCCGAGGCCTCGGCCCTCCTTCAGGGACTCCTGGCCTCAAGAGAATAACTGAATGTAAGGCTTTTTAGTTTAGCTTAGGGGATCTTATGTGCCTGGCTTGGGGCTTATGGCCCTTAGACTCTGGGTCTCAACCCTGCCTGTTTGTTCCTTTGTCATCATTTTGGAGATGACCTCTTAGCTAGCTTTACTTATGTCATTTTGATTTGTTTAACTTAGAACATGTTCCTTTAGCTTTTGTTTACTTCACCTTTAACTTTCTGTCTTTTGGTTCCTTACCATT